TATACTGTTAATTAATAACGGGATTGACTGAAAAGATCATGATTCATCTTCTTTCTGGGCTGAAAACTTCGGTAGGAGTCTAGAGGGGCAAATAGCGCCAACAAGGGGCAGTAAAGTATTCAATACAATCATTCAAATGGAAGCCGGCCACCTGCGCGAAAACCCACAAACTCCGCAACAGCAACAAACACTTCAAGCAATCACCTAAGGCTGCAAAAAGGCTGATGCGCCTTCTTTTAGCAGCAACTAATCAAGCCACCACACAAAACGAAATGACAAAAAGCTACCTTCAACGGGTTCAAGCAGCAACCGATATGCACCCCGCTTGCAACAAGAAACAAAATCATCTACAAAACAGCTTCTTCCGACGGACCCAATTCTGGGTCCGGAAAACTTTCTCAAAACCGGCTTCGCTCAAAAGGGCCTGCCTAGTTGCCCTTCCGGTCGCCATAAGCCCAAAGCTTCATTGAAACCAAAACGTTGCGCTTCTGGCAACCTTGATACAACAAACTTCAAAAAATGAACCCAAACACGGTCCCAAAAATGGGACCGCCTGGCGGTCCCATTTTGGGACCGCATGCACCGCTTAGTAAAAGAACAAAAGAAAAACCACTTTCTCTGTCCCATTTTTGGGACCGCCCCAGAAATAACCTGAAAGCGCACATGTGGTATCAGCTGTCTCCGTTCCCCAGCTCCATTCTCCTTCCCCTTTAACCTTTTTATTTGGGTCACAGGCAACAACTTAACACACGAAGCTGACGTTGCTTGCTAAAATCCCGTTGGGATGCCAACCAGTCATAGGTCAGCCATGTTTGGTTAGCTTTTACGCAGTGAGTTTGGCAGTGTGGCAGTGAATGTAGTTTGAGGATAGGAACCATCCGGCTCATTGGATTGGGTTGATCTTTTTGTTCTGCCGCCTACAGTGGTTAATTCACCGCAGTAGAAGAAAAACACAGGGCACGGGCGTGTTGACTAAAGTGGTTGTGTGATTGGCACTATGCTCAAGGTCTCCTTTGGTCGCAGCCAAGCAAAAATAAATGGGGTCAACGGTCTCAACCAGGCAGTGAAATGAGTTAACTGCTTGATCTGCCCGGACTGAGCTGTGCTGCTTCTGCAACCTCCCTACATATTCCCAGTCCACAAAGCTGTTAGGATTCACATGTGCAGGCTTGTGAGTGTTTGGTTGACGGGGTTACTCAGAAAGTTTCCTCTACTGGCCACTGTCACCAAGGAGACCTTGGGCAATAGTTGTACCTTCAATTTTTTTTTTCCCCTCGAGTATGGCCGATGTCGCACTGTGGCTCGGTTCTTACGTGAGCATAAGCAGTAAAACGTCAATTTGTACAAGGACTAAAAGGGTCCGGAAATGCAGGCAAATCACAATAAACCAAACAACACACAGACCAGCCAGACGACCCGCAAATCCCCCAGCCAGATTGCGTTTCGTCAAGGGAAAACAAAAGGGGCTGGAGCCCAAACAAAAACACCCACCAAAAAGATTTGCCAAAGGACACAGTGGTTTGACCACTGCATCACTCTCAAAAACATGCGAAAATGAATTAAGAACCACGACATTCAAGGAGACATAAAGGCCTAAACATTTTGCCTGTCTACTTTGGCATAGATGTGCCGAAGCTGTACATGAGCACGGGGCTACAACTGTGCCTCTCTCAGCGTCCTCTCAGATCAGCTTGTCCAGAAGGCCTCCATGGACAGGATCACTATCAAATGTTCTCGGTGAGCAAGAATGTCGTGGTGGTAACTGTGCCAGGTACTCCCCCAGTAGTGTGAAAAACGTAAACCCAAGTACACCTCTCGTGTACCCAAATCAACGCTCTCGTTATCCCACTACGCCAGACGCAAACACCTACTGTGGTTGCGACCCCGCAGTTACTTACTTCTCTGCAATGTTAAAATAAAGGAACTTGTTCCACCCTGACTCCTAAGTGCACGTCAGACTCCTTCTTTTCTCTCCAGACGCCACACACAACGGAACAGGTCAACAGGAACCAAGGCAGGCACACGGCCACAAACCAAAAGGTGTTCCAGTGTGGCTACTGTTTCAAATGCCCTAGGTGACACTGCAGTTCAGTTCGCTTCGGAACACTTGACACCACTCCCTTGAGCCGATGTCTCGACTGGGAAACTCGATTCCAGGTTTCCAATACACAACCTTCCCTCAAAGGTTGTTGAAACAATTCCAAACTGCTATGATATACAGATCACCTAGTCACAAAACGTCAGAAACATTTCCAAAAGTTCTCAAGTCAAACTGGTTCTCGTCCAAACGCAAATAACCAGCTAGCCGATGTTACTAGTCTCTACCAAACGTCTAGACTAGTTACACGGCTATTCAAGAACGAAATGATCCATTCAAATTCCTTTACAAAATTCTCTTGCAATACAGAACAACATGGGAACCTCATGTTCCATTTCCAAAAACAGTTCTTCACACAGAGATGTCTTCTCATAGCTCCAAACCACCGTGGAGAGCAGAATGTTCTGCTCGACTTCTCAGCTAATATCCAGTCATCAGCAGTCATAGCGCTAAAGTAGTTCGCTTACTGCAATAACCAAACGTCAGCAATAAGTCACAAATACAAAGGTCACAAAGTAGACTTCCAGATCAAATACCCAGAGGTCGAATACTATACGTAGGCATTGTCCGGAGTATCTCACATACTCGCAAGAGGTAATCAAAAGGCTTCACAAACATCTCAGATGTACGAAGCAACGTCAAGAATCGAAACGGATGTTCCAAAACCATCTCCGTCAGATTCACACTCCCATAAGGAGTCAAGGAACCTCCGAGATCGATGAAACCATATCATCCCGACTCAACTGTATAGCGAATGCTTCTGAAAGCATTCGCCCACTGTCACAAAGCTAAATAAAGCTTCAAACTGTATTCAAAGTAGCTTGAGCTCCGTGTAGATTCACTCAGACCCACAGGTCGATATCTCAAATCATCTCTTGCAGCTCCGTGTACCACAAAGGAATATCGAAACTACTTAAGTCTGTTGTAGACACCTTCCCATAGTCCAGTTTCACTACTGAAGACTCAATGAATGCTTGTCGCACCAATGCCAAGTTGCAACCCCATAAGGGTGACAAACTTCCACACCCCCTTTCGACATGACATTCATCTCTCTCTTTACATACATACTAAAATTCACATCCAGCATGAACTTCGACATACCTTCAATGTCAGAGGTGTAGAAGACGTTGTATTCGCCAATAGACTTCGATATTCCATCAGTTCAGCACATCTTCGAAATAATGTTGAAGACTTTGTTGAAGTGCTTGTAGATGTTCTTCATCCACCAGCGTAAATGAAGTCTAAACTCTTCTGAAACACACGAAGTTTCCAAAAAATATAACTGTCTCTGAGAAATCAACTGATTCTCAAAAGTATCTTCCAGCTTGAAGTCGTTCAAGATTAAAAGTAGAATAGAATCGCTCCAGCTCTGGATGATTCTCAAAAAAAACGGTTGTCCCTCCAACGCTTCGTTCATCATAAATAAACAGTCTATTCATATCCATAACCATCGCCAACGCTGATTTCAGCAATACTCCATAGACGTCTCCATGGGCAAAGCTCCCATCTATCCTCAACCAGTCAACATCACCAGCTCAGAATCCATCAACCGTCCCAAGGTGTCTCTTCGGAACGATTTCTTTCTTCCAATACCAGATCATCAACTGATCGAAGAGACCATGGCGTCAATTCACGATCAACTACAGTGCTGTTTGTTGTTCCCTAGAACAAACGGAAAAACACCAACAACACACACGAGATCCAAGACGAAGACAGACGAAGCACTGTCGGAGTCAACACAAAAACAAAGGCCGACTGTTTCAGCTAATCCACGTCTTCCAATGGAAGATAGGCGTGTCAGACAAGCGAAACTGTCATCAGTCTAAAAATACTCAGATAAAATCCACATTCGTGGAAATAAAATTAAGTTCAAGACATTGTTGCACCACGCAGACTCAGCTTCGGACAAGCTAAGTATTAGGCGCGCTAAGCTCATGACATATTTCCAAAGACAGACCTTGCCCCCCTTTTGAGGTAAAATCCATCAATCCTCAAACATCACTAAAGAAATGAATTCTGGTCAGCATAAAAGCTGATCTATCGCATAGTGAAAAACTACCAAAACAAACTTACAACCAATTTTACTCACAAACATATATTAACAACGTGAGGGAAATCCATTCCACTGACATCAACATATTTAAAAACGTCAAGAGTACAATTCCAACAATATTGACATGTACCTTAAGTCAGGGATGTCCAATCCACTGACATCCATGGGCAAAAAAACTAAAACACTTTGACCAAACAAAAGATTTTACATGTATTTGCATCAGACATTTAGCCTGGATCCTCTTTGATTCTTCTTTCATTCGAGAATCGGATCTGGCCATGTCATCATCTGGAAAATGGCGGCAGACAAATACAAACCACCATCAACAACAAAAAACAACAATCACAAAACACAAACTCACAACGAATCCACAAACATGCTCATGTGCAACTTATGTCTCATGCATGTACTGCACATCCACTTTCACTACCAAGAGTTGATCCTTCCAGGATACAACTCAACTCCATGATGCGAACTTCTTCTAGGTCGCACTAATGCAACCACTCGCCCCCTTTCAAGATCCGCTTTCCCTCTCTCCTTTTCTGCTGAGCACAGAGATCTGAAGTGACGGCAACGAATACATGCTGAATATTGAATAGAGTGAACCTCGAGCTGACCAAAGGTTGGAATACCAATTACCAACTATTCTCTCTACCGCACAGGTTGCAAGAAATTCAGAAAAGAATATACATCATGGGTTCCACCCAAAAGAAGCGGCTTCCCTCAACTCTCAGTAGTCGATGTCCCGAATCTTCACATTCTCAGTAAATCCCCCTGAACTGAGAGTTCCCATCACGAATCATCCCCAATCCCTCGGGAGCCCAGATACTGGTGATTCCGCTGGTTTGTTCAGGACGGTATGCCGTCGGTGACAATGTCCTCTGTACACCCGTTCCCGCATCTCTGGTAACGATGCCCACACGCTGGCACGGTGTTGGGATCGGAAGGGGAGTATTTGGTCTCGGCCCGTTCGGCTGTTCCGGACAGAACGCCATAAAGAGTGACACTGGCTCTGCCGGAGGTGGTGGAACTGCTGGGGCAGGGGCAGGTCCGGGTGATGTTGATCCTCCTGGATTTGCAGTCCCAGCAGGCCCAGTAGTTCCAGGGGCACTGACCGCTACTGGTGTGAGAGGAGTTCCTGCATTTTTCATGGCATCTGGAGCTGCAGCATTCTGAGCTCGTCTCTCGAAGATGCCTTCCAATGCTATCAAAGCCACGACTGAGGTTGGTCTCCAACTTCTTTGTTTGCTTCTCTACTTCACTTTGGACTCCCTGTATGTTGGCTTCCACTGACTGGTTGCCAGTTAGAGCCCAACGACCAGTGGCAGCCCACCGGTCGAAAGCTTTGAGAAGCTTGGTCGTTTCTCCGGCCTGAAACGACACTCCTGATGTCATCGTTGTTATGCAGGTCGCTTGATTCTGGATCTGGACACTCAATTCTTCAAATCCTTTCTTCATTTCCACTCTTCCTTGGGTGAAATGCTCCATGGTGATGGCAAGCTCTTCACTTACATTTGCAAGCCTGTTGGAACACTCTGAGATCTTCCGAGCCAATTCCGTACTCACAGCCAAGACTTCAGCCGCGTTCACATCACCAGGTGGGGTGATCACTGGAGGAACCGGTGGAAACGGAGCATTCACGTCTCCTGGAGTTCCTTCTGGCATTGTTCCTCCTGGTGGCACAGATCCATCTGCCAAAGGTACGGTTCCATCACCCACTTCAGCACCTGCCGGAGGACCAGCAACATCTCCCATGCCGGCACCAGTGCTATCCAACACTGTGGAATTCTCAGGACCCAAGTTGGCAGCATCAGCCTCAGCGCCACGTCCTCTGGAACGAGAACGGATTCGGCTGCTGCCGCCATGACCGTGACCTTCTTCAGCAGCCATTCTCAACGTACGCTCCAAACGAGTTCTAAGAGCCTGTACTACTCTACTTGAAAATCCCTGCTGGCAATAGAGCCTCATGCCCTACAATCTCAATGTCTCAAACATCAGAACAAACACACAAACCAACCAACATGATGTGTATGCTCAACAATACAACTAACTGACTAAGATGTTTCCCAAAATTCCAGATGTCTCCAACATACTGGAATTTTGCGAACCATTGATACACATGTTTCAACATGCAATAAAAGTCTGCACTCGTCCCAAACCATGGGAAACTGACCAAACCCCTTTACAAAAAAATGCCAGTCCCCAATCCATGGAGGACCATCACGAGTTCTAATGAGTTCACTGTGCGTTCCCTGCTATATGCAGACTGTCACTCATTGACATGCATGCAAATGTTCTGGAAAAGAACAGGTCTCCGTGGTTTTGCAAGAACCCTTCGACAAGTCATCTTCACAAAAACTGCACTCGTCAAATGACACACTGACTGCAAATCTCAACTGCAAGAGCAAGGAGCATTGCAAACACTCAAACTTGTTTGTGTTTCATGTTTCGTTTGTTTCGTTTCGTTTAGAGTGAAATTCCACATGATTGCATCTTCTCATTTTGCAACATGTTCGCATCGACTATTGAACCATTCTCGTCATCGATCACAAGCACCCAAAGCGAGCTTCCCACCGTTTTGCCACGGCTTGCAAGGCTCAAACAAAAACTTAAAGCACAATAATCTACAACTCGCCCACTCTTCAGTTCCTAGCAGGACGCTCACGAACCGGCTCATTAGCAACCATGGGATCGATGACCTGATAGAGCAATCTTCCCTGCTCATCATATTCTTCTGGAAGAAGAAATCCGTACCAACGGAACTCACCAGGTCGAACCTTCTCCATTATCTCTGCTTCCATCTTGCGAAAGTATCCCAAAGCAGTTATTTCCACTTGAAGAAGGCTGAACTCGAAATAGTTGAAAGTGCGACACCATTGAACATCCGTGGCACGCCCGATTGGCGCATGGGTCGCAGTCAAATCGATCCTGGAGGTATGGATATCTGGTTGGATTCTATGATGCGTCCGCACCTCTTCCATCTGTGGTGGGGCGAGAGCTATCCAAAGACGAATGCTATCCTCCATTGAGTTCAAACCGAGATTACACTCCTGGACTCAGCAAAGAAAAATGGCTTCGTAGCATCGATGCAAACATGCAACTCGATTGCTTCTTCATGTGGATTAACACTCACTGTAAATCTCAGTCCATGCTGATCTCTTGACTGTGAACTCTGCCGCTTACAGTTCTTCCAAACCAACGACCTACAAGTCTACAGTCAACTTCCAACTCAACACGACAACTCCACACGCCTAAACTCACAGTTTCACTACAGCAAAGCAAACTGCCCATCCGTCACATGAGCAACGCAGACCCACAGGCTGCTGAAGATACCCTTTCTTCTTTCTCCTCTGCATTTCAAACTGGAGTTTCAAATAAAAATTATACCTAATACTCCATGGTCTGCCCAACTTCTGTACCTGGACCCTGACCAGTTAAATGAACTTGGCGGCCATCTCACTAATACGGTATACCATGCGTCCTTGGCTATCCCGTTCTTCATGCTTCACAGGCCCATGCCAGCGATACTCGGTGGGCTTTGTCTTCTCCAAGATTCCGCTCTCAACCTTTTGAAGGTAGCCAAGCGCTGAGATTTCCATCTCCATCACTGCATAGTCTTTCTGATGGTACTCACCTTTCAATCCATCAGGCGTCCAATCCATAAAGTATTGGGCACGATCCACAGCTTCCGCAGGTCCCAAACGCAGACCAAAGCGACCGGAGTATCCATCTGGAAAAACCTCATTGCCCTTGTTCAACTCTTCCAACCGCTAAAGCGATCCAGAGCTTAAGTGACTCCATGTTCTGAAATACACACACTGCAACAGTCTCAATGCTCTTGACACGAAACAGTTAGAAAACAGCTGCGGAAACACGAGCAGGTGTTCTGTCCAAAACTCATACCCTCAAAAACTCTCAAGCAGCTCGCGGGTGAAAACATCACAAGATTGACCTAACGGATTTCTCTGTCGCTTTCAGCTTTATCTTTCTCAGCCAACGACCTTCTACACCTCTAGGTCACATATGATCAACGTTTCTCTCTCGCAGCAAAACAAAACTCATTTGTTCATTTCTGTCCAGGCAACCAACCACTGGGTACTAAGACTGTTTCTACTGATGTCTCCTCACAAACAAACAAGCTAAGGCTCAGCAGTAACACTCAATCCAACTTCTTTGAGTAGTTCTTCTTCCAAAGTAGCCTCTGGGATGTCGACTACGTCCATCAGCTCACTGTCTGAGACGCTACGCACATCATCACCAGAATTCGGTACTGCTTCTCCACACTCACTTGGAGATTTCGCTGCATCTACCGGAGGTAGTTCTCTCCTGACACATGCCACATCTTCTTCCACATCTATAGGAGTAGGCGCTGTGGCAGCATCAACGAGAGGTGCCCGACGTTTCCTGGTGGAGAAAGGTTGACTCTTACAGGACTTATCCTTCACCTTTGCAGCAGCCATCTTACTCTCTGGACGATCCAACTTTGTAGCCTTCTTGTATTGAAATTCCTTGGAGTGAGACATTCCAGCTCCACTTGAGGTTGGCTCCTCGTTCGAAAGTTCTTTCTGGTCTTTGCGAGTGGACATGGCAATCTGATATACTTTTGAACCGCTTGAGCAACACTTGGCACCATCAGCGACAGGCATGATCCCCACTTTCAATCATCTACAGCGCACTCCAAAACATAAAGTTTCATGCGTATTGGGCTCCAAAAATTCAAATCTACCTTCAGATTGAGTAACACTGAAACGACAACTCAGAAAGTGCTCTTTACATACTCATTCCAGTCACTTGATACACCTTTTCCTGTCACTCCTCCTCCATGGACCAACTGAGTTCAAGATCTAAGACATGCCTTAATTGTTTGCAAGAACCATGTACCTAACACCATCAGTTCCCAACCTTTGCACTTTGATCCAATACCTCAGTGTCCTTGGGTGTCAAACCTGGCAATCAGTTGTCCCACCGGATTATGCGAACCAGTTCTTCCCGTCCTCACCTTAGTGTGTTTCATCTCCAATTTTGCAGTAAATTACCTACTGTCACTTCATACTGCCGAAACGAATCTCCTACGTCCAGGAACGTCCCATCCATGCATACCTCTCCAGATACTCCAGCGTAGCCTTGCAATAGTGACCCTACGCTAGCAATACGTCACGCCATGACACAGACCCCTACCAGAATACTGCCAAGACCACATGGACGCCTTCCAAAGACTACGCACCTACACAAGGTGGAAATAAAAACTTGCTCTGACAGAATCCACTGTCAACACAAACTCAACTCCTCCGTCCAAGTCACAAGTGTCCTGCCCAGGGCTGACTAATCTTGTATGGTTTACATGGATCCACTTCTGTCCAGCCTACCAAGCACACACCC